CGACTATTAAAATATTTTATAACGACGGCGACAACAACAACAAAAGGGACAGTAACAACAAGGGCGACAACAGTGAATTAGCAACAAGCATTTGGGTCGCAAAAACTGATAATCTAAATATTTGTAATGATAATTATCATACTAATCTTGTTCATGATTATCATATAAATCCATGTGCAACTTGGCATTTGAATTCTATTAGTAATGATAAAATTAAATCAAAATTTGATAAAGATTTAGTCAGTTATGTTATACTTTGGAATAACAAAAAATTCAATTGGATATTAAATATAAATTATACCAATACTACTACAAATACAAATTCTAATAATCCACCTCATAATTATAATCCTAGCAACAGGAGGAATGCTGCAAATAGATCAAGTTTTATCAAATTTAATTCTTTAAAAAGTAAAATAAATAGAGTTAAACATCAAAGCCAAGAAAAAAACAGCGATGAACTTGAAGATGAAGAATTTGATAATAATAAGGAAGTTAGGGTAGAAGAAGATATTTACTGTACAGTAGAAGACAGTGGCGAAAACAGCAATAGTAGTAATGATAACAGTAACGATAATGGTAACGGTAATAGTAACGGTAACGGTAATGGTAACGGTAATCATCCAAGGAAAATAGCAATATTTAATGTTAAATCTGATACTTTGAAAATCAATTCCCATTATATTAAAAAGCACTGTAATAACTTTAGCGAAAATGAATGTATAACATTTTTATTAACAACAGGATTGATTGCTAAAAATTCATTCCACAAATTAATGCAAGAAAAAAAGGAAAGCGAAGCAACCAGAAAAGAACATGAGCAGGATCTTCGTTTTTATAATTGCATTCCTTTATTTATGTTCTGTGGATTATATTGTAATTGATATATTAGAATGGTTTGGGTAGAATATGGTATGGGAATATGGGACGGGAGATTGGAATATAAAAATCAATTGGTTAAAATATATGGATAAACAATATATGATTAAATATCAAATTATTTTGTATGATATAAATATTTTATTTATTTCTAAAATTAAAAACACTTTTCCATTTTAAATAATAATAATCGATTACTCTCTTTTTTCGTATAGAAATATAATAATTTACAAGTCAACGAAGCATACGTAAATATGCTATATTCAAAGAAAAAAAAAGATTAGATATTAATATTAAAAATACAAATTATTAAAATATATAATTTATATAATTACCTAAAATTAAAGCACCAGCACCAGTCAATGTACCAAGAATATATTGTAATATTTGAAATCTTATGGATTCCATTTGAGTCTTCAACTTGCCTATTTCGCCATCAATTTTTGAATCAGTTTCTTTGATTTTCAATTCCAATGTACTAGCACCATCTCTTATTCTACCCTTTTCCAAATTTAATTCCAATTTCGCATTAGCTTGTGTGTGTCTAATACTTTCTGTTAGCTTTTGATTTAATTTTTCTACCTCACTAATTATTCTTTCATTGTCAGTTGGTTGGTTGGTTGATTGATTGATTGATCGATTGATTGATTGATCGATTGTTGTTTGTTTGTTTGATAGGAATGTTCGAAGGAATTATCATTTACAAAGTCGATATTGATAAATAATGCAGGGACATTAGGAGATTTGTCGAGCAAAGTTAAGGATTATAATTTTAAAGAAACACAATCATATATCAATTTAAACATTACATCTTTTACTATAATATGGTAAATACGTTATACACTTGTATGTATATACAAATACAATACACACACATTATATATATATTTATTTCTCTTTTTTATTTTTTTTAAAGTTCAGAATTTTTAAAAAGATTAAAATCCTCCTTGACAAATCAACGTATAATTGTAAATATTTCATCTTTACTTGCAATAAAACCAACACCCAATTGGGGATTATATTGTATGGCTAAAAGTGCCAGAGATACTTATCTAGCTGTAATCTCTCTTGAAGAGGCAAGTAAAACTAATCACTTTGTCAATTACGTTAAATCCATCCATTATTCACATTATTCACATTATTCACATTATTCATAAATTGATAGGAAGGTAATAACACCAAAACTTTAAATTATGCACCTGGGCCATTGAACAATGACATGCAAAAACAAGTTAGAGAAACAATTGGAGATGTAGAACAAAAGACACTTTACACAAACTTTTTTAATAATAATCAGTTGCTTGATATGAATGATTCCTCACAAAAACTTGTAAATTTATTGTTTAAAAATAATTTCAAGTCTGGATCCCATATTGATTATTACGATATTTAATACTGATACTAATTAATAAATAAAATAGTTGATTCTCCAAATTCAGACCTAAATTGATGTTCATTACCAGACAGACATTAATTACCCAAAAACGTATATACATTTTATTAATATGGTCGAATTTTGGAAATAAGGCAAACATTCGTAGTTATCCATCATTTCTATATATGGTAATGATTTGTACCAGTGAAATTTGACATTTATTTAGGTTATTGCAATGAAACCTAGTCTATTATAACCCGCTAAACTTTTTTTCAAAAAAGGTCATTAAAACATCATTTAATAATATATTCTTATAAATGAATTTAGGAAAACCCGTCGATGTTTTAAGGAAAATCATATTTTTTAATAAATTTTAACTTTGTGGACCATCCATCACTTTTAAAAACATTTTTAGGAATTTTTATTCCATTCTTCAATTAAAAGAATTTCTGTTTTTTTTTTGCTGGTTTGAGTTTTGTTCGAATGAGTCCGATTGGATTTGGTCGGAGATTGACTTGGCCGACGTATACTTTTTGACATCATAACAGCGATTATTATTAACAAATCATACTAATACAGTTTACACTGTCTATAACGGATCTTTCTATAACGGATTTTTCCCTATAACGGATTAAAAGCTTTGTCCCGATTTTTTACTATTTGAAATCTCTTTCTATATATAACGGATATTATTAATTAAACTTTTTATTACGTATAACGGATTGTATCTGATATATTAATATATATATGACTTACACACTTCCTATAATGGATTCACGTGATCTGAAATAAAATGCAGATCTCTCCAAATCTAAAAAATTACTATTGTTGTCTATAAAAAATCCAACAAAAAAAAAATATATATATATATTTGAATAAATGACATAAGGTATGATGTAATGAACTAAAAGTATTGATAAATGTTGATGATGATGATTTACTGAATGAAGAAATAAT